GTGGGGTGGGGGGTGGAAGGGGTGTGTGGAAAGTGTGTGTGTGTGTGGGGGTTGGTGGAAGGTAGGGGGTGGAAGGGGGTGGAAGCAAGGAAATATAGAGGTTTGATGTGATATGTAAAAGAAGTGGTACAATAATATTAATTAAGCCATTAATTTTTTGAAGGCTATATATATATTCAAAGACCAACAACTAGTATTCTCTCCTTTCGGGAAGAGGCTTAATGGGTGACATAAGATGATGGTTGATTTGACAGAAGACAACATTTGATTGATTGGCATTAAATTATCACTGAGGAGACCATTCACAGCAACACATGGGTATTCCTTTGATACTAAATCTGATGTTGAACTTTATTATATTAAATAATACAACTATTTATGAATTTTTTATGCTGCTGTTTAAGGAATACTTATAATTATATCTGAAATTTGTATTGTTATTGAAATCATTTCAGGGTCTTGCCTTCACCCTAGAGGAGCGTCAGTTGGTTGGGATCCATGGCCTGGTACCTCCCTGCTTTAAGACCCAGGATGAGCAGGTCTACAGGGTGTTACAGAACTTCTATCACTTTGAGAGTGATCTGGACCGCTACATCTACCTGATAGGGCTCCAGGACCGTAACGAGAAGTTGTTCTATCGTGTGCTCACTGAGCAGATAGAGCTGTTGATGCCAATAGTATACACACCCACTGTGGGGCTGGCTTGTCAAAAATATGGACTGGTGTTCAGGAGACCAAGGTAGACAACACCCCCTTCACCCCCCCTTCACCCCCCTTCACCCCCCTCACCCCCCCCTCAAGTCAGATAGCTATAAGGGGCCATATGATTTTATTATCATTTTCACAAATCTACAAAAAGAAGACTTATTCCAGTGCCCCCCTCCCCCCCCCCCCACCCCACACACACACAGACGCACTCCTTCAGAGATTACAAGATTAAAAACTAAAAATTATGCCCCTTGCCAGCTTACTCCTAAGGAAGAAGTCCATCAGTTTTATTATATTTCCAAAAGTATACAGAGAGCTTTAAGCCCCCCCCCCCCTCCCTCCTCCTCCACATACAGGGTTTGTAGACTTGAGAAAATAAAGATAAAATGGAAGACCTCTAAGTACATTAATACTAGGGTCTTAAATGTTGACCTTAACAGACATTTTATAGCCTGAATTTCACACCTGATAAGGGCCTGAGAGTCTTCTTAGTTTATTTTCCAATGATCTGATAACCATGCACATTTTTAACGGAGGTTTGAAAATGAAGAAGTTTATAGAAATCATAACTAAAGCTCTTGGCAGCATTATTAGAATTATATTTATGCTCAGGACATGCATCAGATAAACTGTTCGTTATTTGTGTGTCCTTAAGACATAGGGTGTTGCAAAAAAAAAAAAAAAAAAAAAAGTGAAACAAAAAGCAGCTCTATCAAATTACATAGTGGTGCAGTAACACATGAGCATGTTAAGTCAGTTAACTGTAAACTTTGGAACTGAGGAGGTTGTGGAGTTATTTTTAAACTGTTTGATAAATCCTGTGAACTCAAATTGAATGGTACAGCACCAACCAAACCTGAAATATGATTTACTACTTTGACAGCATGGGAAATTAAAAAAAAAAAAAGGCCAACCATTTGATTTGTTGAGTGATTTTCTCTGAAACAAATTATTTTCTTCTTATAAAATAATAGAAAATAAATATTCCCAAAGCGTGTGTAATTTTATGTGTGTTGGAGGGTATTAGGGGGGATAGTGTGGCTTTATGAGTCCAAGATTATTACATAATACTACTTCTGTGGGGATCACTAGAGTCATACCTGTGTTATCAGTGAGCTAATAAGGTTGTAAGTCTAATCTTTGTTTGTTTTGAGTCTGAATTTTTAAGACCTTGAACTGCACGGGACAGAAAAAAAGCGCTTTTATGGCAACAGATGTTGACTATTCAAACTATTCCCAGTTAGAAATCTAACCCATGACATTTTTATTTCTGGATATATAAAACACTTTCAAAGCACAGTGCCAGAAGTCAAAGTACCCGTACCTGGCATGCTCTTGATGGCAAGGTTCATGGGGACAAATTATTTGAACTATTTCAGTTACTGGTTGAAAGAGCTATTTCTGTTAGAGAACAAACTCTCAGGACCACTTGGTTGGTTAAAAATGTGTTAATGAAAGAGGGGTCATTTTATACTTCCAGTTACACAGCAATTAAGAATATCATTTTTAAAAGTTGATGTTCTTGAAGTTTTCTTATAAATTGAATTTTAAAAATGTTTCAGCGAAGCACAGAAAAGTAGATGGGAGATTTAGTTGAATGGCAAAAGCTGTTCATGTCTTTCATGATATCTTCAACAGGTCCATAGCCAGCAGTTTCTAAAGGGGGGTTATTTTTCTGAGTAAGTGGACTTTTTAAATTGAAACTTTTGTGTAGATCAAATTTTACCCAGAAACGACCTTTTTTTGGATGAAAAGGGCAGTTCTTTCGAACCTCCTGAACCCCCCTCTGGCTATGGGCCTGTTCAATCCACATTGAAATATAGCTGTTATATTTTTCTACTTTCAGAGGGTTGTATATCACCATTAATGACTTGGGTCATGTCTATGAGATCCTGTGTAACTGGCCTGAGAGGAAAATATCAGTAAGAAACAATTCATGCAGTAAAAACCATAGCTCTTTATCTTGACATGCAATTTTTGCACATTAAAGATTGTATGGCAAAATTCAAACATTGTCCTAAATCATTGTTATCAGTTGTTATAAAATTTTGTCAATTGTTATCAGTTATATTACTGGTATAGCTATAGTATTCCTATGGCATACATTTGTATATGCTTTTAAAGTAAAGTTTACTTGCATTTACATCATAGCTTAATACTGTAAAAGTTTAGCCTGAACCAGTTATGCTTTGTTACCTTTGTTACCTGTCACAATAGCAAACAGTTTTTTTATGGATATTTTTTTCATTTTTAAAACGTTTGCACAGTATATACAGGGTGGTCCATATAAAACAACCAATTTCACTTTCCATCTCAATTTTGATACAATTATTACAGATATTTCCAACTTTCTTGATGATTGAAATTTGATGATGATTAAAATTTGAGTACTTAAAAGTGTTCCAATTTCTGCAAGGATAGAATGGTCATCCTTATGGAACAATTTGGTTAAAAAGTTGGAAATATCTTAATAATATCATTACTGAGATAGGCCATTTTTTATGGACCACCCTTTATATAGTAACAGATGCTCAGATTTTAGTATATTATTTCCTAATTTCCCCCTCCAGGTCATAGTGGTGACAGATGGTGAGCGTATCCTGGGTCTGGGAGACCTGGGAGCCCAGGGGATGGGAATTCCTGTAGGGAAACTGTCCCTCTATACCGCCTGTGCTGGGGTGGACCCACAACACTGTCTGCCCATTGTCATTGATGTTGGCACTGACAATGAAGTGAGTATCTTTTTTCTGTCCATTGTCATTGATGTCGGCACTGACAATGAAGTGAGTGTCAATTTTCTGCCCATTGTCATTGATGTCGGCACTGACAATGAAGTGAGTGTCAATTTTCTGCCCATTGTCATTGATGTCGGCACTGTCTGTAACTGCAGAGATCATGTTTGTGATTATTTTGTAAACCTGATGACTAGACCCATAAGATGATCGCATTGTCTGTATCAGTACATGTCCCAATATTTACCTTAGTGATCCAGGCTATCCAGCTATGCCAGGGACACACAGACATGGAGTGGGTCAGTCAGTGAAACTGTCATTAGGTGCAGGGTCATATCCAACACACAAGCTTGATTAGATAACTTAATTTTTTATGTGGTGTACAGCAAGTACATGTGAGAAATGGGAGCTATTTGTGAGCTGAGTGTTATAGGGAAATAGATTCTGGCATTTTTATTGCAGAACTGTAAAATAGAATATCAGTGGCTCTCACTGCTTTCGATTTAAGAAATTGATAAATTGATTTAATACACACAGTAAACTTAGAATTACTTAAAATTACATGTCTTGGCTTTCTTCGTCCCAAATATGCCCATGAAATACAACACTGCTGCTGTGCTGAATTATGCCCTGATTTGGGGAGCCTTTTGATGCACAGTAAAATCTTCAATCTAGGGAGTTTCACCCCTCATGATTATGATCCAATAGCATCAGAAAGATTGGTAGGAATACAATTTTTTATCTATACGTAAACACGTATATTTCTATCCCTGCAGACCCTGCTGAAGGACCCGCTGTACATTGGACTGCCCCAGAAGAGAACGCGCGGAGAGAAGTATGACCAGCTGATCGAGGAATTCATGCAGGCAGTGGTGAAGAGGCAAGTGTGGAATATGGGATGTTTTAACTGAAAAAATGCACCATTTTATACTTGATTGTCATGTTTGTGAGAATTTTGAATGAAAATATCATTTTTAGTAAAAAAAATATTGACTGGTATTTAGACTATATTACATATCATGAAAACAGAATTATTTTTCATAGCCAGAGTACTTTTGAGCCATTCCAAGGTGCTCAGTCAGGCAATTTATCACTGATATGGTACATTTTTTATATATTTATTGGCTAAATGAGTCTTAGTCTTATCTGATGTACAAGCATGGGCTTGAGTTTAAATTTACTGCTTGCCAGCTGCCTCTTGCTTGTTATCAGTGAATAAGAAGTGAAGTGTGATGCGATATGATTTCAGGTTTGGACAGAATACTCTGATACAGTTTGAGGACTTTGGTAATTCCAATGCTTTCCGCTTCCTGGAGAAATATAGAGGGCAATACTGTACCTTCAATGATGATATACAAGGTAACAACTTCCCTAAATGCTGAGGGACAAATACTTGAGGGACCTTTTGATTTAGACAATGTGAAACAACTTTTTTTTCTGTTGTCATATGTCTTACTTATTGTCATATAGACACATTGTTTAACCTACATTTGCTAATTCTGAGAGGTATTTAAGTATGGTAAAGATATTGAAAAGTCTTATCTTAGTTCATGGAATTTCAAAGAAGTGCTGAAAAAATTTACATTTTATTAATATATCAACTTCAAAGAGCCTTTCACACTGGAGTACACTGACATTGTATACTATAGGCACAGCGGCAGTGGCAGTATCTGGGGTGTTAGCAAGTCTGAAGATAACCGGGAAGAAATTGTCAGAAAATACCATCCTCTTCCAGGGAGCTGGAGAGGTGAGCATGCACAAAAGTTTGGCTAGAATATAAAGGGTTTTTAGCATCAATGAAATTAGCATTTCAATGAAAGGCGGGTCACCTTTTGTTCATTGTGTTCATTGAGTATCTTTTAGTCTTGAGCTTTTGTAACTAGGGTCCCCCTGTGTGCATTGGTAAAAGTTGTCAGAATTACATCTGATCTCAGGATTTTCATTCTTCATTCTGATTGTCTTTTTCATATGGTCTTAATGCAATCACAAATCGCAAGCAACATTTTCAGGATTTTCATTTTTTACAATTGTCGCCCATGTGTATCTGACTTTCAAGAACCATTTCATCTCTGTGCTTTATCATTCCAGGCTTCTATAGGCATAGCTCACCTGCTGATGAAGGCTATGAAGGAGGAAGGCAGCTCAGAAGAAGAGTCCCTCAGTAAACTGTGGATGGTGGACTCTAAGGGACTGCTGACACAGGTTGGTACTAGCTTTACACCTGCCTACATCCCCCCCCCATCCTCCTCACCCACTCCCTCTTCTAAAGAAATACCAGCGAAGCCTTCCCAAAACATATAATCTTTTTATCTTTATTAAAATTTTTACTGGTCTTTGTGATCTCAAGCAGTTTAATTTTCGATAATTTCTACTATTTGTAAAATTGTGACATTTGAATGACGTTTTGCTGGGCAGGTTGTGATTGTGATGTGGTGATTGTTTTAGTTGTGACAGTTGTGTTGTGTTGGGATGTGCCCAGTGAGTTTCCTTTCCATTGTCCGCTAGTGCAAATTAATCTCTTTCTTTACATAAATAACAAAACAAAATATGAATGTGACAAAAGAATTAAAGTATAAAGACAACCTTATTGTTGTTGACATGCAGGGGCGCCCAAGTGGAGGTCTGACAGAACACAAGATGACGTTTACCAAGAAGTACAAGCACATGAGTAACTTGGAGGAGATTGTACGAGAGGTCAAACCCAATATCATTATAGGTATGTGGAGTCCGGATACCAGGGCGACAGATTGATTTTTTACAAGATATTCACAGATATGCCTTTAGATAAATATACGGTCATTTTTCCTCTGACTTTTTGAAAATTTGCCAATAATATCTGCCACGCTGGTAGAGGGTCGAGTCTGGAGATAATTGAACACGCAGAGAAAGTCGTTTGACTAGAATTGCAATCTTTTTGATTCATTTTATTCGTTACAAGGAGAGAGAGAGAGAGAGAGAGAGAGAGAGAGTGAGAGAGATATCGTTCTTAATCTATCCCTGTATTTTCGTGTCCCCCAGGAGCCGCTGCTGTGCCGGGAGCTTTCACGGAGCAGATTATTAAAGACATGGCTTCGTTCAATGAGCGTCCTGTGATATTTGCCCTCAGTAACCCCACAAGTAAAGCTGAGTGCACGGCAGAGCAAGCCTACACCATCACTGAGGTAGGTCAACATTGGTGGTAGGTCAACATTAAGTGCAGGTCAACTTTGCAAATAAATCATCATTGGATGCAGAGTTACCTGGTATAGGCAGGTCAATAGTGCATTGTGCTGTCTCTGAATATTAAACCGACTTCTATATAACAGCGGGCCAGTAGCCAGTAATTTCAAAAGGGGGGGGGGGGGGGGGGGGGGGGGTGTCTTTTCCTGAATAGGTGGACCTTTCATCATGAAACTGCCGTCTACCTAGATAAATTTTTACCCAGAGGGAAACCTTTTCCAACAAAAAGGGGAGTTCTTTCGAACTCCTCGAATACCTCTGGCTACGGGCCTGTAACATGATTAACATTTGGCTCCACTGTATTTCCTAGGGTCGCTGTATATTTGCCAGCGGCAGTCCATTCCAGCCAGTGACAGTGAATGGCAAAACCCACCACCCTGGCCAGGGGAACAATGCCTACATCTTCCCCGGGGTAGGACTGGCAGCCATCTTGTGTGGAATCAGGCACATCACTGAAGATGTATTCCTTGCCACAGCAAAGGTAGGTTCCATTATCATATGTGCGGCAATTTCTGATGGTGCAAGAGGGTGCGGAGTTTGCAAAGCAACTAACAAATTACTTATTTTAAAAGGTTTATGTACGTAATTTGGTTGTGGAAAAGCACTTAGAAATGGGAATATAATGGCACTTTTTTCACCAGTTGTACAATGACACATACAGGTGCTGACATAATCGAAATTTCGTTTTCCAGTTACAGTTTCAATTAAAATTTCGAGTTAGGTTTGCCAGATATACCAACACTAAATCAGGATTAAAAAAGGCGAGTGTCGCTCATAGATGTAGCACATTGCTGTCTGATGAAACACATTTTGGTCAACATTGCACAGCACATTGCTGTCTTATACTATCGAACAACTGTCGCAATATGATATCGCAACTATCGCAATATGGTATTGACCTGGCGGTTACTTTGCAGGCTTTAGCCAACCTGGTCCAGCAGGAAGACCTGGACAGTGGCCGAGTTTATCCACCTCTCACCAAAATCAGGGACGTGTCAGCCAGCATAGCCGTGGAGATCGCCAAGTACGCCTACAAACACAATATGGCCGCCCACTACCCTGAGCCTGCCGACAAGGACGACTTTATACGCTCCCAGATGTACAGTACTGACTACTCCAGCTTTGTCCCGGACAGATGGAGCTGGCCCAAACTTTAGACGTTAGTTTGTTTCTTGGAGACAACACGTGGACATTGGGGATAGTTTCGCAGAATTGAGGGTACATACTGCATCAGCAGCTGTTCGCAAATTGTCAGTTTTTCTAGTCGTGGTGAGGAAGCCGAATGTTACCATGATTTCAAATTATCAACCAAGTCTGAATTACCAGGTCGTTTTTTTTTTACTAGCACTTTGTTTGTAAAACCTGTAAAAAAAACCCCGGTTTATGCATATTTTATTACGCTCACAACAATTTTTGATTTTCTTTCGAAACATCTTTTTATCACATTGCTGTAATGATGGATGTTATAATGTCTAAATTATGAAAAATACAAATAATCACTTTAGTGAGGCGAGAAAACAAGTTATGGCAAATTGGATTTCTTTTCATTTTGATTTGTTTTATAATACGCAAACTGTGATCTCGAAGACGATAATGATGATGATGATGATTTCACGGTATTATATACGCATTTACATGGCAACCAATTTACAGTGACAACATTGCCAAGTGATAAATTGTGATTTGTAACATTTTAATCAGTGTTTGTTTTTATTTATATTTATTATGAATATTGGACATATACATATATGGATAAAGGCCTACAGAGGTCAGTTCAACAGTATGTTTTTATTTTAACGTTTTTCTTTGTTTAAATCAATAAATTACAGTACAGTGCAATTTTGGACTCCTCATTTATGGTTGTAGATAGTATATATTTCGCAACATATTTAATGACAACAGTTAATCTGCAGTAACCGGTCTGCCAACTTGTACACTAGAAAGTAACGACCTTCTAAAGAAATATACAGCAGTGAATGTGCTACAGCACATTTTATTGAAATTCAAAGTTAGGAAAAACTTATCATAAAGCCTGACCACAATACACCGCTTACTTTGGCACCTTTCCGGTGTTATAAACTACGGGTGTGGACATTGTTCCGATTTCGATAGGCTGTCTTTGCGGTTGTCACATCGGCGTTATCTGGTTTGATGACGGCGACCATAACAGGAGACGACTAATAGATTCTGACTGAGATTTCAAATAGGCTGTCAGTCTTCCCAAAGACTGCTGCAGGAGACTAATATTATCTTTCTCTTGCTCCGATGGCCATTTGACGAATTTTGGTGAGCAATATCGTGGTATTTAATTACTTTTGCATGGCACCAATAGAACGGCGATATCGCTTAATGTCTTCAAAAATTATGCGAAACTGATTTTTTTTTGTGTCCATTATTTACAGCAGCACTAAGACTGAGCTGCCCGCAAACGGTTTCTATAGTGCTCGCCACCGGAAAGCCGCCATTTTCTTAGCCACGCCCTAAGATGGCGCCTATAATCTGGCGAGTGACGTTCCCGCTGTCTTTCTAGCAATATACGTTTTCTAACCTCGGGTCGGTGCCAGCTTGGAGTGCGGTGGCGTATAGGTGGCGCTAGTGTCGGTGTGATATAATATTGTGTCCGCGCTAAGTATGCAACTGGGACGCCAGGAGGCGCACGCTGCACATTAGAGGTGTCACTGCCGGGGCGAGTCGCCGCCGACCCCTGTTTTAACCCAGAGTCTGTGTCCGTTTTTCCGTTAGAGCCAGATGGACGATTTGACACCTGAATGACCGGATTGAATACAGGGATGTAATTTTCTTGATTTATCTGGCCCCTCCGACCGGGCCTATACCGGTGGTGTCTGCCGTCAACACGAGGGTCAGGGGTTCCCTGTCTCTGGGGCGGCCGCGTCTGGCGGTAGTACGGTCGCCGCGTGGGGTACGTTCGGCGGGGAGGTGGAGGTCGAGTCGTGGTGGTCGCGGGAGTGGTGGTCACCGTGGTTTCTTCCTTCCCAACAAATACTTTCCACCACGGTCTGGCGGTGGTGGTTGTAGTGGTGTCGTAGTAATATGGCGTTGGAGGCCGCCTCCGGGGAGTTTGTCGCGTTGAAGTGGTCGTAGTTCTCGTGGTGGTGCTGGTTGTCGAGGTTGTTGTTGGTCGTGTGGTCGTTGTAGGTGTAGTTGTTGTGGTGGTGGTGGTTGTTGTGGTGGAGGTAGTTGTCGGCAATGGTGTGGTAGTTGTCGTCGTCGTGTCATCATCGTCATCGTCACCTCTAAAGAACTCCCAGAATCCTCTCTTCTCTCTGTGGACCAGAAACGACTTGGCGTCCTCCGCGCTCTGCTGCAGCCAACTGAACGGAAGGATCACCTCTGAAAACATACCGGTAAAATGAAGATATCATTAGGGCTTACGGAAGCTCTTCCCAGGGAGACGGATCTATTAGCTGGGAACAAGAAGGAAGAAAGGAAGGAACTGAAAGATATATAGAGAATGAAATATAGAGGATTCTGCCGGGATAAGTTACGGTGATTTGATCTTTATGGGTTTTTAAAATGCGGTGCAATAAGGCTTCATTCACATGCAATGTCTATTTTCTAAATTCTATTTTCTATTTGCGGTATGTCTTATGATCACGGTCTGTGGCCTGAATATCCCGCGGCTCCCTTGTACGTGCTATTGGTCTATCTCTCGCTTTCCGTCTGGAATAGTCTCACATGTACAGGAAAGGCAGTCCTCTAAGGACTGTAGTCTGTTTCCCTTTATTCTGAACAGACGATACTCGTCACAAATTCCCACTTTGACACTTTTGATTAACCCTAACCTGTACTAATCAAATGAGTTTTTTAAAGCACTGAAATTGTTTGCATTGCAACGCATTTTGCAGCCAAACAAAAACAGAGGCATTCGTTTTGCAACCGCAACGCATTTTGCAACTAGTTTTATTACTAAAGCACTGGAACTGTTTGAAGAACTATACATATAAAAGTGTATAAGGATGGGGAACTTATACACCGTGCCCCGAATTTTCTTTTTCAGTTCCACATTTATGGCATGCTTATTAGACATTTATCCCCGTACATTTGTGACTAAAGTCCTTCGGCATTACATTGCCATTATAAATGTTGGGGGTGGGGCTGTTCTGGATGTATTTTTCTTTTTTTTTTCAAGTTATAATTTCTGTTATCTCTTTTGGTTGCAAAATACGTTTCTTCAGCAAAATGCATTTTCACGTTTTTATTTTCAAAATGCGACCCTACAAGAAGCACCAAAAAAAATCGTTCAATTGCAAATTACGGCTCTAATGTTCCTATAAACCACGAGCACTCATTTCCTATGGTGAAAATTGATTAAAAAATTGAGCATAAATCAAGTGTAGTGCATAGCTTTCACCATCCCTTAAAAGTCACATCAGTCCTCAACATATTAACATCTGGCTCAAAAATATTTTCCCCGCGTTTACACGTCTGAATTAGGCCAATAGTTGATAAATTAGTTGAAAGAATCACCGAGATCATAATATGATATTTTTTATTTAACAAGGAACAAGTTATTAAATGGTGTTACGGACGTTTTTCCTTTGTGTAGCTTACAGTATATCTATATATATATTGTTTTACTGCCATAAGAGGCTTATCATTTTGAGGGTTAAGGGTAAACAGCCGCTGATCAATGACTGCTAATTCATAATAATCTCTCTCTGCATTAAACAGGGAGTTAAGCATGCCCTCTCTCTCTTTCTGACATTAAATAATATATTAAAAACTCTGAATCAGCAACACTTTCTTCTAGAGACGCCTAGACCCCCCGTTGCTTTATCTGATAAAGGACGAGGACTCCGGTACTTCCACTATATCTGATCTCAGTGGAAAGTCCTTGTTTAACACCACGTCCAACAGAGCTGGAGTGGGTTCGGGAGTGGTCACTGTCTGGTCAGAAATTTCACTTAATTCTATACAGGTGTGACAAGGTTTAACTAGCGGGCAGCGTCCAGATGACTTCTTTTAAGAAGTTAAAGCGTCTGATGCCTGGCTGTCGACGTTTAAATGGCTATAAGATTCACAAGACTACGAACCTCACGATGACTGAGATGTATTATATAAATCCACGATTTTGAGAATGGGGTCCGCTATGAAGTGGGTTTTTTCCCATTTATTGAATTTTACTTTTAAAGACGTCCAATACTTGCGCGAACTCTTTCGAGTATGAAGATGCTTTTAACTGTCAGCACGTTTTCCTAGATAATAACTGTGCAAGATAAGAGGCGGTAAAAGCGGTGTAGTTTGGGTTTCACTTTAGTCAACTTTAAACAAAATATTGGACCTTATCCAAGGAGATGCACGTGGAAAAATATTTGAAAATAGCACTGAACAAACGTCCATATGTCCGAAGATGTTTTTCTGGAAAATAAACAACTCCCTCCTTTAGGGAGCTAAAGTAAAACGAAGTGTGTTGCAAGAGTTAATGTTTCTGCAGCACGTGGAGTCGTTCTAATCTCAGCACAGGGGAGTTTGTTAAACTATTCCAAGACTATGGTCTTATCGGAAAGGAAGACGGCAAGTTATGATCTGTGTTGCATTAAATCGAGGACCCTTCAAATGTGTTTAAAATGAAGTTAACAATAAGATGTATTGGTTTTATTTTTACACAGATTAAAATATGTTGCGCAGAAAAAAATAACAATGTCGTACGTCTTGTATGCATAAAAAGTGAACACTAACAAAATAAAATGTAGCTACTGCATGCCATGTCCGAGAAAAAGAGTAGTATAACTAATCTACCAGTCGTTAACCCAGGTGCATGTGTACGAGAGGAACTAGATGGTTGGGACGGGAGCAGGAATCCAGATACATCGGAAAATTTCTTGTAAATTATTGTTTATTCAGAAGTCAAAACCAGACGGTGACTGCTGATGGCAAGGAGTGCAAGTGTGGCGGG